TTGAAACATCTTGGTTCACAGAGAAAGAAATAAAGAAATTAAGCCCAAGAGTAAACTAATTTGCCTTAGTCAGTTATTAGAAGTTAAAACTAGAAAACGCGGTGGCTCATGCCTGTAATCCCAGCAGTTTGGGAGGCCAAAGTGGGCAGATCTCCTGAGGTCAGGAGTTCAAGACCAGCCTGACCAACAAGGTGAAACCCCGTCTTAAAAAAAAAAAACAAAAAAACTAGAAAATACATTTCATTAAAGTTTAGTATACTTTCCAGTAAATTATGCAACATCATGAGTATGAATTCAATCGGCAGAGTTTGAGAGAGAAAGGCTGAGTATGATGGCTGTCTGTGGGAATATTTGGTGGAATGCTGTGGCTGTGGCTGGTAACCCAGCAATTTTATTTGATGGCTACTGTGTGTAAATTACGATGTTCCATTCTGTGGGGGTGACATTCACAAAAGGATGGGTAAGTTGATTCTTACCCTTAAAAAGTTTCAGTCTAGCATGTACTTACTAGCTAGAGTTGTACAGCTACCACAAATTTTTGAATCATATCTAAGGCAGAGTCCAAGCATGTGTATTTTAACCTCTCTTCCTCCCAAAATTTTCTACACACCTCCTGTTGGGATCGCTGATAACAGAGCTCTATGAAGCAAACTGAAATACTGGGCTGATAATAGTTTCCAAATAGATTTCATACTTCCAGGTTTTCAGACCTTTGCTTGTGGATTCTCTAATTCATTCATCAAACATTTCACTTATACATCAAGTATGGTATTACTCTGGATATATATCACTAGAGATAAAACAGTCAACAGGAAAGACAGGTCCTTCCCTTTGGGGGCAGGGGAGGGAGAATGCCAAAGAACAAGAAATTATAAAAGAAAACTATGGAAAGGATCTGAGAGAATAAATATTGATCACCACCAGAGCACATAAAAAATCTCTCAATCCAAACTTGGGGTATAGGGAAGCTTTATTGGAAGAAGTGATTTCTCTGCTCAGAACTAAAACAGAATGAATAGAAGATAGCCATATTGTGTGTGTGTGTTTGTGTGTGTGTGTGTGTGTGTGTGTGTGTGTGTGGTGAGAGAAAGGGAGGAGAGTATGAGAAGCTGGGAAGCAACTTCTATCTAGGTAATGAAAACACCCTGCTCAAAGGTCTGGTAAGGGAGAACACAGTATGTGAAACATACTAAACAAGTGATGCAAATTCTCCACTTGTACCTTTCTACTTTCTTAACAGAAGTAAATATTGGGAAATAAGCCTGGATAGACAAACAAGTGTCTCCTTATGGAACGTTGAGGAGGACAGACTTCACCTTAAAAGCAGTAAGGAGCCACTGAAGAATTTTAACCATGACAGATTTAAGTTTTAGACAGATCACTTGATGCACTGTAGAGATTGGAAATGCAATAATGAGATGGGAGACCAGTTAAGGAAGCTCTTATAATTCTAGGCAAAGATACTGGCCTGAATGTAAGTACTACCTGTGGAAATAGAATTATTAAGTGAACTGGCTTAGAGATTTTTAAGGCTTTAATGACTAACCAAATTCAGAGTGAAAGAAAAGAGGATTTAAAATGACTTTTTTTTTGAGAGACGGAGTCCTGCTCTGTCACCCAGACTGGAATGCAATGGTGCGATCTCAGCTCTACAACCTCCGGGGTTCAAGCGTTCTCCTGCCTCAGCCTCCTGAGTAGACACCACCACCACGCCCAGCTAATTTCTGTGTTTCTACTAGAGACAAGGTTTTGCCGTGTTGGCCAGGCTGGTCTCGAACTCCTGACCTCAGGTGATTTGCTTGCCTTGGTCTCCCAAAGTGCTGGGATCATAAGCATGAGCTACCACCAGACCTGGCCAAAAATGACTAATTTTTCGCTTGGAAAATTGGGAAGCTGGCAAAGGCAAAGCCAACCATTTAGATTCTGAATACTGTCAGAGATAATCTGAAGGGTGAACCAAGGGCTGTCATTTCTGAGGACAGAGATGTTTATGGCCTGAATGAGGAATTAACAATAAGTAGATGGATTTGAGATGTTTAGGAATTAAAATCAACAAGATTCAGTAATTGCCTGGATATGAGATATGTAAGAAAAGGAGTCAAAGAAGACACTAAATTTCTGTCTTGGATTCTGAGAACAGTAACTGTGGCACACTGTTTAATTAATTCCTACCATTTTTACATATGGAATTAGTTAATTCCATGTATTCCTCCCATCCTGGTATGCACACTTTGCAAAGTGACTCTGCCACTCCTTCCATGTAGAGATGGAATCAATTTCCCCATCCCTGAAATATGAACTAGTCTTGTGACTTGCTTTGACAAACATGTGATAGGAGTAATATATGTTATTTCCAAGGCAAGGCCTTAAGAGGCATTGTAGCTTCTGTTCTTTTGGAGTGCTGCCCTGAGAGTGCCATGAAAAGAAGTTGGTTTAGTCTACTGGAGAACGAGAAGTCACATGGAAGAGAGAACGAAGTCCTCGAGCTGACAGCACCAACTATGAACAGTGGTAACCCTGGGACCTTTCAGTTTAGTTGACCTACTAGGTCAAGAAAAAGCATAAATGAGACCAGAGAAAAACCAACATTAGGTGGAGTAGTTCTACTTCACTGACCCAGAATTATGCGAAATCTTGAGGGTGGTTACACAGCTATAGACTACTGACAGTCAAAGACAGAGGGAGATCAGGAGAGGACATCTTGAAAAGTTATTCTCAAATGACCTAAATATGTACAAAAACCCTTAAACAGTAGAAAGTTAGGGAGAGATGATCCAGTAATTCCAAAGGCACCAAATACCTGAATAACAAGGGTATTGGAATCTTAATTACAGAAGAATCTACCTTTTGGATAAAGTAGCCAAAGCAAACAGGCAGGATGCTTTCAAGCACTTTGAGAAAAAGGCAAGTAGAGGGGTTCCTAGACGACTCCGGGGTAGTCCCTAACTCCCTCAACCTTGGATTAGTAAATTAAACCAGGTCTCCTTATTAGAGACTACCCGAAAAATTAAACTAGGATAAGAAACGTAAAAGCTTTCAACACTGTGCCTAAAATTTTATTATTCACATAGCAAAACATGGATATGAGAAAAAATAAGTTAAAAGTAAACTTTCCCCATTCAATGATAACCCATCTATTCTGCCAAGAGAAAAACGAAATAAAAAACGCTGCCTTATTTTAAAGACGACAGCCATCATTAAAAGAACTCAATTTCAAAAATAAATTATACTTTGGTGTAGATAACTCCTTTTATTCCAACATTGTTAAAAAGCACAAATCGCACTGAAGCACAGCCAGCCGTCTGTGAATAGCAGATAACCGAGGTTAATAGACTAAAAGAAGTAGGAGAGGTGGGCGCGAGAGAGAGGTAAACGGAAATTGTTCGCCTGGACCAACGACTTGAAGATTTCCCTCTAAGATTTGGAAGCCTCGTCATGAGGGTAGTAGTCTCTTGCATTTCTGCCCATTTAAAAACAACCTTGACTTCTTACCAAGCTTTATTATTTCTCCCTCCCACCTGGTGTGGTTTACAGATTGTTTTTAGCTAGAGCCCCGTAAGAGAAGCTAAGTACCCAAGACAATGTGAGGTTAGGAGAAAACTGAGGCTAGAAACCCAAGGCGGGAAAGGATAAGAATCAACAGAGAAGGCCGGGCGCGGTGGCTCACGCCTGTAATCCCAGCACTTTGGGAGGCCGAGGCGGGTGGATCACGAGGTCAAGAGATCGAGACCATCCTGGTCAACATGGTGAAACCCCGTCTCTACTAAAAACACACACAAAAAAATTAGCTGGGCATGGCCTCGGGAGGCTGAGGCAGGAGAATTGCCTGAACCCAGAAGGCGGAGGCTGCGGTGAGCCGAGATCGCGCCATTGCACTCCAGCCTGGGTAACAAGAGCGAAACTCCGTCTCAAAAAAAAAAAAAAAAGAATCAACAGAGAAATTAAGCCACGTTGCATTCTGGCCGCAGCAGTCCCTAAAGAAGCGCAGTCCTCCCACCGTTTTCAACCAGGACTCGAATGTTTGCGTCTTCCTCAGCTGCAATCCCTCCTACTCTCTCTGTGGCAGCTGCGAAGGTGATCTACACTCACCACTTGAAGCAAAGTCGCGAACAACAACCGTAGCTGAAACGCCGGCAACAGCCACCCAGCCAGCGCAGCCGCCATCGCTACCACTCTCCGCAGGTTTCCGGCTGCCTAGAAGGACCCCTCGGCTAGGGGCGTCCACTCTAGAGCCTGATCCAAAACAGGACGCTAACGGCCGTTGTCCTTACATCTCTAATTTGGAAGTGACAGGTATTAACTAAGGGCCTATGAAAGCTTAAAAGTCCTCAAATAAAAAAAACAGTCACTGGGTGCTTTCGATTACCCAAATCAGGCACTTTCCTAAACTTCCCACTTCTTTGCTTCTGCGGTTTCCTTTCTTTCGCTCACGACACTTCGTCGAGTAGCCAAGAAGCCACCCCTTCTCCAGTTTTAGCCCTGCCTTCTTCTTCAAGTTTACCCAATCGAATGTCGTCTTGATTGAAATCGGTAGCAGAAGAAACCAACCGTAAACCGAACCAAGAGCGAAGCGTAGGGGCTCTTCGGTCCCATAAGTGGACCCGAACGGGAGGAGGGGCGGGGTTTCTGGTTGCCCAGCAGCGTACGCGGATGCGTGCGCGTGGTGGCGGAGGGGGATGGGAGGGGGCGGGGCTGAGGGCGGCGCAGCCGCAGCGCCGGTGGAGGGGGCGCGCGGCCGCGAGATAAGGAGGGAGGGGAGGAAGGAAGAGAGGGAGGCGGGCAGGCAGGCGGGCGCGGGGTCGGGGATTGAGGCAGTTGAGGGAGGCGAGAGCCCGGCAGCCGCTTCGCGCTGTTTGTTGCGCGGGCTTTTGGAGGGGGCGGTCGTTGAGTACGCTGAGGAGAAGCGGGCACCACCGGTGTCGTTGGTGCTAGCGCCTGGGGGAGGGGGACTGGAGAGGCGAGAAGGGGGGTCGCTGCGGTGGTTCTCTCGCTGTTGCGCTCTCCTTGCCTACCTCCCGGCTAGGCGGGCTCCTCCCGGTGTCTCTCTCGCCTCCCGGGCCCCGCTCCCCGCCCCCCGCGGTATGTCTTGATCCCGAGCAGCGGGTTTCATGGGGCTCCTCAGGATTATGATGCCGCCCAAGTTGCAGCTGCTGGCGGTGGTGGCCTTCGCGGTGGCGATGCTCTTCTTGGAAAACCAGATCCAGAAACTGGAGGAGTCCCGGTCGAAGCTAGGTGAGGAACTGAACTGCTTCGAGCTGAGTGCTGTGGATGGGGCCGAGGAGGCGCTGCCGCCGGAGCTAGGGGCGTTCGTTTAATCTGGGGTCTGGCTCGGGGGCTGAAAGAGGTTTCAAAGAGAACCGGGAATGAGAGGTAGCGGGAGCACGAGCTCCAAGACTGGGGTGAATTAAGTATGAGTGGCGTGCTGGACTCGCGAGGTCACGGGGCAGAGGTTGCGAGGTTGGGCTTCCCGAGCCAAAGGAGTGCCCCAAAGTAGGCATTCCACGGAGACAGAGCGAAAAAAGACCGAACTCAGTGGGGAGCGGGTGTTGCTTGTAGAGACGGAAGCGCTCAGCCTCGCGTGTTCTCTTGGAAGTCGTACAGAAAGCCCTGGCAATGTCAGGCGAGGGGTATTCTAATTTGAGCTATGGGCATCTGGATACGAATTATTTTGGGGGTTCATGAAGAGATAGGTGCTCAGAAATGGAAGGAGATGCCAGGATGATGGGGAGTAAAAGAAATACACTGTAGCGAGTTGCACTCTTGTGCTCGGGGCAGCAAGGGACCTTAAAATTGCCAGTTGAGGGAGGCTGGCCAGGTAGGGCAGGAACGCGAGTAAAAAGCTTTAGCGGAGTACGGAAATGAGGGTCCGGGGATTTAAATTCTTTTTTAGTGGCGCTCAAGTGATAAATTGGGGCTTGAGAATAGGGATGCCTACATATGTTGCTTCGCGGCAGTGTTGATGGGAATTTCAAAGAGGAGGGAACGATGAAGGGGAATTATGTAGTGAAGTTTGTTTGTTAAAGGAAAGGTAGGATTATGCGGAAAGCTAACCATATGTTAAATACTTTAAAGGGTTAACAGTGCTTTCAATGGGTTAAGGGATCTAAAGTACAAAAAGTTGGTGCGAAGTTGTGAAAGGCCGGAAAAAATCACAGATAATAGGTACTTTCGGATTAGTAGGGAACTTTGGCATTTGGAAGAGCTCAGCATGAGGGAATGTTAAAAGAATGGCAGTGGTAAATTTTGATTTAAAAATGTACATGGCACTTAAAAATCAGCTCGAGGATGTAATTTGAATACGGAAAGTAATGTGAAGTGTTTTTTTGCATACTCTCACTTCAGCATCATTTAAAATACCTTTTGAGAATCCAGCAAAAAAACTCTCAGCACTGTAATTTCGATTAAGGAGTAGATGCTACTGTGAGTGGATGATTAATTTTTAGGAAAAAATATACCAGAGAATAATTGTAATATTACTATAGTAGCTTTTTTGGTAAGCTTTGCAAAAGCCTTGACATTTTAAAGAGCAGTGAAATAAAAACCATCAAGTAAATCTGAATGAAGTGCAACTAAATTTGGAGATGAACTAGAGATATTCCCAGTCCTCTCCAGAGTAAAATTTGAATACTCAGTTTATTTACCAATTCTTTTATTAATATGTATCTTGTATAATGAAAAAAAATGTCCACTTTAAAATTGAAGGTTTTCCAGTATGGTTTTTCTTTTCTTTTGGATCCATTTAGCGACATTCAGGGTCATATTCTAGCTTATTAATGATCCAGCTCTACAGAAAAAAAAAGACTCCTCTTACAGGAAGTGGAAAGTTATATTAAAATTAAAATTTTTGCTTATTCTTTGTTTTGCTACTGTTTGGAGTTCTCTGGAGTTGATTTCTTAGATACATTACGGTGGGTTAGAATGACTTAAGTGTTCGATTTTCCTCCTTGCCTAACATTTTTTTCCCCGTATACTTGAAAATTGTTTCCGTAGATACAATCTGAATGATTTTTAAAAGAAAGTTATCTGAAGATATAAAATGCCACAGTTAGAATATAAAGTGCTTTCTTGTGATACAACAAAGAAAATTTCATCAAAAACAGTAAATATGCATCAAAATCCTCCTGGGACTACAGGTGGGCGTTACCATGCCTAGCAGAGGAAGCCGTATTTTTGACCACCAGATTCAGTACGAGGCAGTTTTCATCTTAGATACTTGTAATTAAAGTAAGAACACCATCTAAAGCCATTTTTTGGCCACGCGTGGTGGCTCACGTCTGAGGCCGAGGCGGGCGGATCATTTGAGGACGAGACCAGTGTCGCTAACATGGTGAAACCCTATCTCTACTAAAGCTACAAAAATTAGTTGGGCACGGTGGCGGGCGCCTGTAATCCCAGCTACTAGGGAGGCTAAGGCATTAGAATCCCTTGAACACGGGAGGCGGAGATTGCAGTGAGTAGACATCCCGCCATTGCACTCCAGCCTGGGTAATACAGCGAGACAACGTCTCAAAAAAAAAAAAAAAAAAAATCCCAAAACAACAGAAAGCCATTGTTGCAGATGCAGGAACAGGCTTAGAGGTTATATAACTTGCCCAAGGCCACATCACATATAAGTGGCAGAGCCAGGATTGCATACCAGGTATGTCTGATTCCAAATTAAGTGCTGCTTTAGTTATGTCTGTCTGCTTAAGAGTTTATATTGACATTACACTGTGATTTGACTATTGGAATAGAGTTTTAAAATTGTAATATCAATGTTTAATTGCATTTATTGTAAGAATATCATTCAGAGAAAATTGAATTTCTGACAGAGGAGTTGGTTTAATGTAACGTCTGCCCTTTTTATATTCATGTAATGAACATAATTATGTTACTCAATGAAACAACTGAAATAGATAGCTTATTTTTACTATAGGAAAAAGAAATCTGACTTGTTTTCCATACTTGCAAAATCACAACGTTAAAAAGCATTTTTATTTTGGCATAAAAAAACTGTTAAACATTTTGTTTTTAAAAGTAGCTCTTATTTTCATTGTAGAAGATTTCAACGGATAGTATTGTCTGATGGTGCCTTTAATATATCTTGATTTGAGAGTACAGTATTTTGATGGTGAGACCTCTGAATAGAGCCATAGACATATTCAAAACTGAGGTGTACTCATTGACCACTTGGGAAATTCACTAATTAGGAATTCCTAAAATAAACCAATATTCAATAATAGTTTTTTATTTATTTTTAATTTTTTTTTTTTTTGAGAAGGAATTTTGCTCTTATTGCCCAAGCTGGATGCAATGGCATGATTTCGGCTCACCACAACCTCTGCCTCCCAGGCAGAAGAATCAAGCGATTCTTCTGCCTCAGACTTACGAGTAGCTGGGATTACAGGCATGCACCACCATGCCCGGCTAATTTTTTGTGTTTTTAGTAGAGACGGCGTTTCACCACATTAGTCAAGGCTGGTCTTGAACTCCTGACCTTGTGATCCGCCTGCCTTGACCTCCCAAAGTGCTGAGATCACAGGCGTGAGCCACCGCGCCTGGCAGTTTTTATTTTTTAAAAAACAAATACAGCATTTTGGTGTACATATTACAGTGAAATTTGCTTTTTTTGCCTTGAGTGTTACAGACTTCTTTCCAGGTCAATACATGTAAATGTGACTTACCCATTCTATTGGTAATAGCTATATAATATTCCAAAGTATGCATGTATCATAAATTATGAAGCCATTATTCTAGTAATGGACAGTTTGTCCCCCATTTGTCATATATATATAAATTTTTTGACTGCTTCTTTTTTTTCTTGGTATTATAAACAATTACAGGAAAGGTCCTTATATGTCTATTTAACTCATGTAGATGTCATTTTGTGCTATGATGAATTTTACATGTGAGATTGCTGGGACGAAGGATATACATATTTTATAATTTAACAGATTTTAAAATCTACTTTTCAACCTTTTTTGTTTTTCAAAAGATATAGTAATCTACATGGCCAGCCCACATTCATAAGCACTGGAAGATATCAGCTTTTAGTTTTTGCCAGTGTGAGCCTGTGGAATTATAAATTAATTTACCTTCTACTTTCTAGTTAGGTTGAACATCATTATATAAGTTTATTGCCCTTTTACTTGTTAATTTTCATTTGTCTATTTTTCTATTAGGTGGTTTACTTTTTTTTTAATGTTAGAATTAGTACTCCTTTATCTGTCATATGTCTTGCTTTTTTTTTTTTTTATGGTGTCTTTCTCTGTCGCTGAGGCTGGAGTGCAGTGAGCAGTCAAGTGATCTCGGCTTACTCTTGCCTCACCCTCCCAAGTAGCTGGGGTTACAGATATGTGCCACCACGCACAGCTAATTTTTGTATTTTTAGTAGAGATGGAGTTTTACCATGTTGGACAGGCTGGTCTAGAACTCCTGACCTCAAGTGATCTGTTCCCCTCTGCCTTCCAAAGTGCTGGGATTACAGGCGTGAGACATCGCACTTGGCCTCTTGCATTTGTTTTTGTCTAGGTTTGCCATTTTTTTTTTTTTTTTTTTTTTTTTTTTTTGAGATGGAGTTTCACTGTTGTTACCCAGACGGAAGTGCAATGGCCGGATCTCGGCTCACCACAATCTCCGCCTTCTGGGTTCAAGCAATTCTTCTGCCTCAGCCTCCCGAGTAGCTGGGACTACAGGCACGCACCACCATGCCCAGCTAATTTTTGTATTTTTAGTAGAGACGGGGTTTCACCTTGTTGACCAGGATGGTCTCGATCTCTTGACCTCGTGATCCACCTGCCTCGGCCTCCCAAAGTGCTGGGATTATAGGTGTGAGCCACTGCGCCTGGCCTCTTTCTTAACTTTATGGTGTGTTTTGCTCATGTAGAAGTTTTAAAATACACACAGTTAAATCTATCAGTTTAGGCAAGTAGTTTTGATACTTGCTTAAGAAGATTTCCCTGAGCCAGGATCGTGTACATTCTCTATATTTTATTATAGTATTATATAGTTTATTACATTTGGCTCTTTAAACCATGTATATGTTTACAGAGATTTATCATGATATTCTCAGTAAATCATTGTTTTCAACTGTATGTTAACATTCCTTCTTTTAATCACATACTAAGTTTTCATATGTTCTTGGATCGATTTTGGAAGCTGTTTTCCATTAATCAGAGATTCTTTAAACCTCAGGGACCCATCAATAGGGCTTCAGGGTATCAGTGAATTCCCTGAATTTATATACATAACTT